GCTTCCATTGCCTACACTGGGCCACCATGGCTTCCTCCATCACATGGGGATGCTTGCCTTGCTTTGCTCTATCCAATGGCTTTAATACCGAATTGTTTGGGAAGGAGCTAGAGCAGGGCAGTAGAGAAACCTTGACTTTTACTTTTAACTAATGAGGTTGGTTGTGGTATTAATGAGTTAATTCTAAAATGATTTTGTGTGTATTGTGTTAGAGAGTAAGTGAGTAGACAATACTGATGTTAGAAATAAGTATTTTTGCTGCAGAAAAAAGGAAAAATAGGCATAAGGAAGGTGAGGAGGAATCATGTGTTAGTGGATTTGAATTGACAATATCAGTATGAACCAATAGATATGAATTTATGAAGCCTATTTCTGGGAGAACATAGGCCCAAATGTATCCCTTTCCGAAACTAGGCAATCTTTACCTGTGAGCTCCAGCATCCTGTTACCTGACTTCAGCATTCTGAATGGATAACAGCCCCCAGCTGGAGATCTCTTCCCCAGATACACCAAGGGGACCATGGGATATATTTGTGATCAATGGATGGCTCTGATGGGCCCCTGGTCCCTCAAAGAGGAGCACCCATTCTCATGCAGACCATTGGGTCAGAAATCAGAGGGGGCAGGATGCTCTGGTGTCAGTGTCCTCTAACACCTGCAGAGGAATTCCTGCACATCTTGCTCTTCATGGTGTGTGAAGCAGCTGTTCTATATGGGCTGGAGTCTTGGGACATGAGTCTAGAGTAGAGTGTTCTAGTCTCAAGAGACACAAACTAGAGGATTGAAGTTGTAGGCAAGCCTGAGTCTGAACATTTGGGGAGAGAGGGCTGGGGGCCCCAGACACTGCAGCATAGAGAATCAACAATGGATTTTGAAGATGAGCTGTAGGGAAGAAGCCAAAGCCAGGGAAGTGAAAGAAGGTACAAACTTCACCTTCCCTGTTTGGGTGGAGCTGCTTTTGGGGCTCTGCCAGAAGAGACTCTTGGAGAACTTATGTGGAAAATATGGTCATAAACACCCATCTTCTCATTGGAAGAAATAGAGGGGACATCACAGGAAGGGAAAATGTCTGAGTAAATGCTATATGTTATGAGGTGAGCATCTTAAGTTCTTCTCTTATACTATCAGGAATTTTCTACCAAAAAAAAAAAAATCCCTTCTTTTTACCAAATGCTCCTGAATAGTTTATTGCGTCCACTTCTTTTGCACTCAAGATACACCTTTTGGGGAGTTCTCATTTAGGTGTGATTTTATTGTTACCAGCAAGCTGAAAAGAGTTGAGATCAATGTATTTCCAAGATAATGGTGATCAGAATGAAGTTACCACAGGAAACAAGAAGAAACTGTCTTGTCCCCCAACCCACGCACCCCCACCCCCACTCCCACTTCCTAAAACGTATGATCAGGAAAAGGATTGTTGCATGGCTTGCACGTGCCATCTCTTCCTTCATCCCCCTTCATCAGAGTTACCTGATCTTTGAGAGAGGCTGGATCCCTTGACAAAAAATTTATATGACAAAGTGGTGTATGGTTTTCTGGCTGCAATTGCAGATTTGCCTCTGAAGGGACAAGCTGCAGGTACTGTGGGTCTGAGAATATTGCTGGCTATACGTTGGCACATTCATCCCAATTGTATGTGAACTGTATGTTGACAACACAGCTTAACACTCCCCTCCTTTGCCAGGCTCTGTGATTTCAGAAGAAGTTGGGTAGGATAGAGCTATATAGTTTAGGCCAAGTAAAAAATACTCAGAAGGCCCTGTATACATTTTGGTGCCTTACAGAAAAAGAAGGAAGGTAGAGAAAAAGAGAGGGATAGTGAACTGTAAATGAGATGTCTGGCTTTCTGTTTTGCTGCAATTTGACAATCATGGGGCACTCTGCTGTCTGCTGTGAGCCCCAGCATCTTCTATAATCTGGCTGCTAAGTGGAGTTGAGTTGACAAGTGAGTTGTCAATAGATTGGTGGCAAGATCACAGGCTGACCCCTAGAGACATATTTTGCCTCCCTCTGTGGCCTTTGGCAGCATCCTTGTGTTAGAGCCCAGCAAACACCCACTGCTTAGCTGTTCACAACTGTGGAATCGCATCCCAGCCATGGACATTACTCAGGCCAGCCTTGTGCCTCTTCTTGATCCATCCCATCATAGTATGGGGCCAAAGACAACAGAAAGTGACTCCAGGAATGGGATCCAGCCCCAGTGAAGCTCCTAAGGCTTTTGGTTCTCAATTTAGAGAGAAAGGGTGACAGGAGTCAGGAATGGCATGAGACTTTTGGGCATAGAAACAAAAACAGAGATCTTATGTGGATGGTTAACCCAAGAGTAGTTAGGGATAGACTGGGCCTCAGGGGAAAGCAGGGATCAGAGCTCTTTGCAACCCCTGTTCTAGGGATGAGGCTGTTCATGCTTCCTGACCTGGTCAGGAGGGCATAAGGGCTAGATAGGCTGAGTGCCTCCAAGCCCAATTCAGTATTGTAGGTGCCGCCACAAGCCTCCACAGGTGGACTCAACAGATTGTTGCTCCTTCACCCTTCATTGCCTTTTGCTTTTTTGGTCATAGATTAGTGTTGCATGAATCATGAATCCTCAACACAGAGTCCTTAATGCTCTAGCCAGATCCAAAGCTTTACTTGAAACTGCTGTTAATATATAAAGCAATAGGAGTCCTGAAAACTATCAAAGACCCCCCCTCCACTTCCACCTCATGACCTCTAGTTTGGGTCTTGGGTCTTTGCGGTGTCTTTCAGAAACTGTTTTGAGCTTAGCTGTCCTGATAAACAAAGTGATTGTACCATTGAGAAGGATGCCACAGTTGAGGAGGGAATGAGCTCTGAAGTCCTAATTTAATTTAGGCATTTATTAACTTCAGTTTTATGAATATATATGGGTGATGTCGCACACACATATACATACTCAGAGGTCACACACATTGAGTTGTACACACCTTAGGTGACATTCATCTGCATATCACACCACTCATTCAAAGAGTATATATGTTTGTTCAGTTTCTGTATGCCCATTCAAGTTTTCTCTGAGTTTCTAGACACCTGGTCCTTCAGATGCTCATTCAGGCATTGTTCACACACAGTCGTAGTCTGCACTCACAGAGAGGTGGGGCACATTCACTCACATACCACTCACATGCCCTTCAGTCCACTAGTTCTCATTCAGATGTGCCCATCAGACAGCACACATGCTCACTGAGCCATTGCTCACCTCAACTCAGATATCACCTCTTCTAAGTGTGGCAAACATTCACATCTTCTTTCTTTTCCATCTATATCACTGACAACTCCCATGCTAAAGGACATTCAGGGGAAGACTTGCCATATTGAGTGTGTCATGTTTCCTTGGGTCAGTCCCTCTGTACCTTTTTTTTAAATGAAATAGTCCTGTGATTCTGTCTTTGCCCAAGTTGTACTTATTAACCAAATGTCTTTAGATGGACAGCCTAATTTAAGAATGGTAGCCCTAACGACATTCCATTTTCATAAACCATGTCCTAGCTTGCAATACCATCTTTAAATGGTTGGTTTGGGGCCACTACTGCAATAACTTCATTAATTCACAAAATTTTCCTGGGGGCACTCTTTGGGAAATTGTTTTTTTTGTCTTAGATCAGGGGTCCCAAAGATCTATGCAGAATGTCTTCTAAAACAAGAGCATTTATTCAAGAGAAATACAAACTGTGGGCATTCAAAGAGATAGTAAAATGCTATCCAATTTCACAAACTTTAGGATAACTTTTATAAAAAGAGCTTACACATTTGTCATATAGCTGGTATTCAGTAAAGGCTTGGTCATCTCTCTCCACACACTAGCACCTTCTTTCTTCCTTCTAAGTTGAAGGAAATGATACAAGATTACTAGACAGGAGCTTGGAGTATTCACCGTTTATCCTGATTAGGGAGTCTGCATCCAGTCATATTTGTTTTCATGCCTACTTTGAATTTTAACTCAATTTAATTTGGTTTGCTTGAACAAGCATTCACTGATCACTGAATGAGTATTAGGCAACCTACTCAGCAGTGTATGGTGGGGGAAATGATGCAGAGATAACAGACACAGCTCCCACTGTCCAAAAGGTCATAGTCTAGGCAGAGAAATAGTAGTTTCATGCACATATTGTTGCAATCCCAAAAAGATATCCAGTAATGAATTGTAGGGAAACTAAGGTGGAAGACTCATTCAGATTGGGAGGGTCTAGATGGACTTCACTGAGGAGATGAAAGACTCAGCCTTTAGGGAAAGGCTTCCACAGGCAGAAGTGGAGGGCACTGCAGGTTGAGGAAGCATGACCTGATGATGGCATGGAGTGGGATTACAAGATGTTTGTGTAATAGCAAGGGGTCTGGAGCAGCTGAAATAGTTTAGTAGTTTAGACAGAGGGATTCATCCTAAGAGTTTCCAAAAAACAGGCTGAAAGCCAGGCACAAGTGTCCTCAACAGCAAGATAAAGAGTTTAGATTACATCATTCGGATAATGGAGAGCTTGTGAGAGTGCTTGAAGAGGAACAATATTATTTGTTCAGGAAGATCAGTGAGTTGGCTAGTTAGATGATAAATAAGTTAGAGGCAAAGAGACCAGTTGAGTTCAGGTAGTAAGTAAAGAAGTATCCAACAAGGAGAAGGGCAGGTACGGATTGCTGATGTCAACAGGGCCTTTTGATTACAGAGGCACGGTGAGATCTAAGTAGGTAGGGATAGCGAATGGGCCCCAGACTCATGATCTCGCCACTTGATGAATAATGCTGTACTTTACTAAGGAAAGAAAAGTAGAAGGAAGAGGCATGTTTGTAGGGCTTGGGACCATGTTGCATTTTGAATATATTCAGGATGAGCTGTCCTTGAGATCTCTAAATGGAGATAGATTTCTACGAAGCAATGAGTTTATTAATTCTAAAGCTCAGGAGGGAGGTTTAGTTGTAGACAGAAATAATGATGAACAACAAGTTCATCCCTCCAGATAGTTGCTCATCTGCTTTTCTTTCCTGTCCAGTGTTTATCAGCTGGTTGTCAAGGAGGAACGACTTCAGAAGTCACGAAGGGCAGCTGACATCATTGAGTGCTTTTCGGTGCCTGTGAGCTATAGAAATGCCTCCAGCCTTGATTCTCTACACTACTTTGCTGCTGAATTGAAGCCTGCCAACCTGCCTGTCACCCAGCCATTTACAGTGGGTGACAATAAGACATACAATGGATACTGGAACCCTCCTCTTTCCCCTCTGAAAAGCTACAGCATCTACTTCCAGGCACTCAGCAAAGCAAATGGAGTAAGTATGGCCTCATAGAGGCCATTTCTTGCCTTGTTTGTATCTTACCATTCTCAAATGAAAAGTAGCACGGCTTTGGAGCAGAGCTTGACAAACTAAGCCCTGTGGACCAAATCTAGCCTCGTCCCTTATATATATATATATATATATATACTTTTTAAAAAAAATACAGTAATGCCTATTCATTTATATACTCTAAGGCTACTTTGATTCTACAACAGAATAGTTGAGTAGTTTAAACTGAGACTTTATGCCCCATAAAGCCTAAAGTATTTGCTATCTGGCCCTTTACAGAAAAAATTTGCACACCTCAGTGGTGCCTGGATGGCTCAGTCAGTTGAGCATCCAACTCTTGATTTCAGCTCAGGTTACAATCCTGGGGTTGTGGGATCAAGCTCTGCATTGGGTGTGGAGGCTGCATAGGATTCTCTTTCTGCCTCTCCCTCTGCCCCTCCTAACCCAACCCCACATGCCCACATATGCATTCATACTCTGTCTCTAAAAATAAATAAGTCAAAACAATAAAAGATAAAAAGGTCTTTCAGATCACCTCTGGGCAAATCACATGCCTATCTGAGGGTTAATTTCCTCACCTACAAAGTAATACCTATCAATTTGTTATCTGTGAATGCACTAAGCATGTTGTAGTTAATCAGTGAATATGAACTCTTACCATTACCAATAGTCACATTAGAAAATACTTTCTTCTCCCAAAGATAAGATAACCTTTGTTAATGTCAAATATTTCTTTGGTCAAAATGGGATGCCAGTTATAACATCACAAAAGCATAGGGCTGGAAAAGATCTGAAAGGTTACCAAATACCTACTTCTCTCCCCCTACACCTAAAACAATCAAACTTACAACATCACATTCAGCTGGTATTAGTGCTTATTCTTGAATATCTCCAATGACAGAAAACTCACTTCTTTATATGGTTAAACTTTACTGATCTTTGAGGTGGCTGTGGCTTGAAATATATCTCTTATTATAGCTTCTACCAGTTGCCCTTGGTCCATACCCTTAGGTCCCAAGAGAACCACTCTTTCAGTTACATAAGATCATTCCTACTGTCTACCTCCCCTCTGTTCAAACATACCCATCTGGTCTTATTTTCTGCAAGTTCAGTATCTTTAGTTCCTCTTAAGACACAAGTATTTTCCATCTAGAATGGTTTTGTGGACATATCTCAGGTTTCTATATCTCATTCAACAAATATATAACAAATAGTGACATGTACTAGGTCCTACAGTTCCTATTAAGGTTAGACAGTAGGTGCCCTCCAAGAACTTTTATAAAATAAGGGAATATGGTGTGTGCCATGTTCCATAGTATTTCTTCTCACAGAAGTGAGAAGCTCACTGGAGAAGGGAAAGCTGAAACAAAAGCAAGATCTGGTGAAGTGTGTGGAGAGTAGCCTCTGTAGGCTCTGGTGGCCAAGATAGAGAGTTTAGTCTGTCGGTGGCAGTCATTACCTTACAAGAAACCTGGATTGAGGGACTAATTAACATTTTAAATGTCCACATAGCCATTTAAATTCCACATTGGTATTTCAGTTCTGCATTTATTACTTGCTCAAGCAACATTCCTCACAGAGAGTTTAAAACTACAAAGAGAAGCCGCCAGACTGCCTTCCATCTGTCCATCTGGCCTTCCCTCTGCATGAAACACTCTGATGTATTGAGGAGGAAGACATAAAGATGAGCAGAAAGCATCTGGGGGCCCATCTTGTTCCTGGTTCTCTGTATCTCAGACTGGCCAGTTTATTGATAGAGCACAACTCTGAGAAGATGTGACTTTTCCTGCTCTTGGCAACATGTCAAGAGGTGCTTTTGGGTTTCCATGCTGTGAAGAAGAGTAGCAGCTGCACTCCGTTCACTGTCACATTCCTACCAAGACTCTAATAAAAACCCAGCAAGAGACCAAATCTGTAGAACCCAAGAAACTGACAAATGGACCCTAGGAGGCATTTCCTCAACCCAAGCATTGTTGGCCCTTGAGCAGAACAGCAGGTGACACAGGAGGACTGTGGAAGGTTTTGCTTCCCAAACTGCAGCACAGTGGACTTTCTCATGACACAGAGTGTTGCCATTGGGAAAAAAAGTCACCCCACCCTGAAGCTACTTCATCTAAGAAGCAGTTTCTACTACTGCTTTGAGATGAATACATAAGAATAATTACTTATGCCTTTGATCCCACACCACTGTGCTTCTGTTTTGGAACTAAGATTTGCAGGAAGGGAATTAAGAGAATTGGGTGTGTGCTTATGCCAGCAGTCTTGAGTGTGTCATTGGCCTCACAGGAACAGAGAGGAAAAGCTGTGAAGCTGGGCACTCAGTGTGTTTGTTTTCTTCTGGCAAGGGAAAAACTACACACTATGTCAAATTACTGTGTTTAGTATTGAGTTTTACTAAAAAGAGTTAGGTTAAAGGGTCATAGGAGCAGAAAAACCATTCACAGCCTAACAAATCTCTGCCTGGCCCCTCTCAGATTTCTCCACCTTGTAAAGGGCAGCAGACAATGCAGTTAAGCCTGGAGGATTTTTGAGGAGAAAATGTTATAACCCACAAATTCCTTATCAGCCAAGTCGTTGTTCTTGTGCAAATACATCAGAAAGACATTCTCGGTATCCAGGGGCTCCCACATGCCCTGCTTCTAATAAATCATTCAAAGAGCAATTGACCAAGCAATGAAGAAAATAAAGAAATCAAGAACAGAGATATATGGAATGAAAAGACCCACAGTGAGCATGGAAACTAATTAAACATAGTGTAAATGCTAAATAATTGGCTATAAATATGTTATAAAAGAGAAGGTTAATATAAAAACAATTACTTAAAGAGAAAATGTGTAATGTAAAAAATTAACAATTGTACTCTGGGTCTATAATTTGTTATTATGTCAACAAAAACTTGAAAGAAATTGAAGGATTGATGAGTGTAAATATATGCCTGTTTCCCCACTTTAGACAGGATGGAATAAATAAATACTTCATTTTTGATACTAAGAATTTTTGAAGAGTATAGAGTTTTAAACATAAAGGCAGCTTTCCAGTCTATCCTTTAAAATGCCAGAAAACAACAGTCTACAAAGAAAAGGTGAAGAAGCAAAGGAAACTATAGGTAAACATGAAAATCAGTAACTATAAAGCAAGCCAGAAGACAAAAGTACTAGTTTGACTTTTTTTTCAAATGGTGCTTTGTTCCTCTCATAAAAGAGGAAAAAATATCTTGGGTCAAGATATTTCTATATCACTGGAAGATTAAAACCAAAGGATAGGGCAAAGTCATAATAAATTAAAACAAATTAAAGGAAAGTAAAAATGACCATTTGTTGCAGGATGTTTATGGGCCAGGTTGAATAATTCACTATCAATCTAATCTTATTGCTCCCAACCTTATCTGCAAGTTTCAGTCAGAACAGGGTAAGAAAATTTTAGGGTCCAGATACATTTATTCTATGGATATTAAGGATAGGTTTTTTTTCCATTTTAGTAGAATAGCTAAATAGCCTTCATAATCAGACTACCTACAGTCAAAACCCTATTGTATTAGTATACTAGTATACTGTAATGCTAATAGTATATTAGTAAACATCTAGGAAGCATATACTTTATGTCAAAAAAGGCACTTCTTGGGGTGCCTGGGTGGCTCAGTGGTTGAGCATCTGCCTTTTGCTCAGACCATGATCCCAGGGTCCTGGAATCAAGTCCTGCATCGGGCTCCTTGCAGGGACCCTGCTGTTCCCTCTGCCTATGTCTCTGCCTCTCTCTCTCTCTCTCTCTCTCTCTCTCTCTCTCTGTCTCTCATGAATAAATAAACAAAATATTTTTAAAAGGCACTTCTTCTGAGTCCCTAGAATAAGGCAGCAAGCCAAACAAACAAAAATCCCTGCCCATAGTGTTTATGTTAAAAATAAATACATAAGTGAAATAATGTGTCAAATAATGAGTCATTAAATTTAGGAATGTGAAGGTCGCTCATTACATGTTGACATAAGGTCTATGTTGACTATTAATAGGATGAGGATAAGGACATTTTGTAAACTCTACAGTAATCTATATGAATGTGGAGTATTTTAATCCAGCCCTATAAACACTATGGAGAGCCCAAGTATGATGTGCATTATGAGGCATGGTGCTCAGTTATTGCAGGCATTTCTATGAAGTGCAAGTTGTTGACAGGCACTTTTATTGGGAATTTTGATCAGATTAGTAATATCACATTTACCCATTGATGCTTTCTTACATGAAGAAAACAAGGGCAGTGCTGGCTATCAGAGCACTGTCCTTGGTGCTGAATACTCACTGCCAGTCTTTCTTGTGAATCAGGCTATATTGTAACCGTTTGTTTTAGATGTAGCTATATTATAGATCTATTACAGCATTTTAGAATTGGATGATTTTGCAGTGTCTCATCTAACGCAGACCAGCAGCCAACAAAGAAATCTCCAATAAAGCATTCTTGGCAGGGCATTATAGAGCCTCACCTCGACCCCTGCAATTCTCTGGAGGGGAAGAGTTGACTCCTTTGTGGAGCAGGTAAAATTATTAGAACCTTCTTCCTTCTATAAAGTCAGATTTGGTCTCCTTAACTCTCTACTCTTGGGCACCTGTGGTGATTTGGACAAATCTAATCTTTCTTTCCCATGTCAGCCTCTTGGAGAAAATATGACAGTACCAACTACCATCTTTGGCCACACAGGCTTTCTTATTGATATTTTAATGTGAAGTTACTTCTGTTTCTCACATGGCATGATTGTCTGTATCTCCTTAATCCTATTTATTCTGTACTCTCATAGACATATTCCATTTCTCCAGTGCTCTCCTTAAAAAGTGGTGCTCAGAACCTGCGTTGTGTTTCAGATATCATTAGGCCACACCTGCTACATTTTCACTGTCCCTCCTCTCATTACCATTTTCTAAAACATTATTTCTCAAACATCCCAAGGTATTTTTCCTGTCTTTGGGGCCCTTATGCAAGCTGTAATTCTACCTGAGTG